GATTGATTGATTTACTTGCCTCCTATAATTATCGAAAAATGACCTGTATCACCTCAAAGGCTGGACGAGTCAAAATACATTAACACCAGGCTTATATTCCCCTAACGGAACTGAGGGCTTTCTTTGTAATGGGCAATAGGGAAGAGTTATGGATATGAGACATCACAAGGATGAGCCTCGCTATTAAGTGTGCAGTAGCTTATGTCTTTCTTTCTCCTTCCCAAAGTTACACAGCATTGGTGCAAAATAGATAAAGGTTGCCCTGAAGCAATTAAGGCATTGGTGAAATTTGTGGTGTACATAAAAGCCAGAGTGGTGTGACAGAGTAAACAGGCACTTTGTCTTAACCTCGCTGTGAGTGGCTGTAATCTGAAAGTCTCTCCATGGAGTAGCAAAAACCAAGAGGCCTTAGCTCGAAGCATTTCTTTAAACTGCATAAGAAAGATTGTATTATTAAGTTATTCTATTACAAGGAAATTGCAATTTTCTCAAGTGCTTAATTCATTATTTTTTGTCAATATAAACAGAAAGCCCTGGAAGGAGAATTAGATTGATTCACTTGAGACAATGCAGCTATATATATTATTTAGCATAACAGTCTTAAACACAGTGGTTCAATCAAAAGGTAATATTCCTGAGAGCTATTTCCCATATTTGTCCTGCAATTTCTAGCTTTGCTAAGCAGTTAAATTTAATTAAAGCAAGCCCCTTAACATTAACCTCATACCTCTCTGCATACCATCAGTGCCCAGCAACCCCATTATAAGACTATCTTGTTATACATGAATTGGAAATGAGCTGACGGAGGTATCTCCCCTGCACGATTACATTAACTAATGTAACTCTGCCTCGGTCATGGCTGGTTTGTTTTCTCCTACCTCAGATCTTTTAAGACTTTATCCCTTGAAGATTATTTTAAAATTATGGTTAATGTAGTTTAGTCGGTGAGATGGATTTTCACTGTCATATCTGTAAAAGCATGGGTTACAGAGTGATTTCAAAACCTTTATTCCATGACTGATTGTAGTTTGGATGAAGTTTCCAAAGAATGTTTAAGAGTCCTATAATTCTGCAAGCAAGATAAAACAATGTGCACGTTTGAAATGCATAATACTCGAACTAAAGCTGAAAGGCTGCAAATAAATATTCTCTCCTTGATCTAGATATCTCAACCAATACCTTCGGAATTAACAATTAGATTACATGTTTAATTTCCCAAACATGCTGTCTGGCTAGTGGAGGTGAGAGATGACTAAATCTGTGGCACCCCCACTGTGGTGAAGATGGATGTACCAGAGGTTGGATGTGGAAAAGCTGCTGAGCCTGTTGAACAATTAATCACATATCAAATGAGAAATATGGTCCCCCTCTAAATCACCACATGTGCCAGCTGGTGCACATTACCACCTACTGGTACATTCTCTGCTAAAAATAAAGATGTTATCGAACAGAAAGTGCGTTGTTTGCAAAGACCTTATTTTACGTCATACAGGGAGAGATATTGTAGAAACACATCTGTAAACGAACATGGCTGTCCAAAGCCACCATGTTCTACATTTGCCAACACATCAGCCAAAGACCATATGCAGGCACTAACTATACAAAGCTAATACTGTATAACCAGAATGATGTTTTCGCTGGAAGAAAAAGCTTTCTTTCGTTTCCTCTCAGCAGATCAGCTTAGTATCGATCAGTCCTTCATCTGATTTCTAATAAAACAAGATGTCTATCTTTTTTGATGGTGTCACCACCACTACCACAAAAAAGCATACACTCTACAAAGCTACCAATATTCAGTCCTTTTCGGCATTTAATCCACTTCTGCAATGTCCCAAGGGTGGTCTGGATCACCATCTGCCTTGTCTTCTAATGACCCTCCAGGTTATACATACTGCTAATGAGCTGATGGATCAGTGCATCGATCTAGGTGCTGCAGTCTAGGAACGCCCAATTACCCAAAGTAAACAGTGCAAAAACAAGCTCTGAGCGCAGCCAAAACAGCAAAATACAATGGAGATCAGGGAGGACATGTAAATAATGGGGAAAATGGTGGAGAGAAGAACCTGCTATGCAATGCAAATGATATCATGTCACAGTGTGATTCTGCTCTTCGCAGTTTGTCACCATGACTATCAAGTAGGATACAATAAGAAACAAGTCGATGGAATACCTTTCTGCAAGTAAAGCAGACACAACCAAACAAATACCTCAGAGACAATTCCATAACAGGTCTATGCAATGTAAAACTGGTACCTGTGGCTCTCTCGCAGGGCTTCCTTCCCCTTCCTCCATGAAATTACACCCCGAGGAGACATCCTGGGTTTGCATTCAATAAGAACATCACCACCCTGTCGGGCTAAAGTTTGGGCCTTCAACAAATTCTGAGAGAAGTCTGGTGCAATGGCTGATGGGAAGAGACAAAGAAGAGGGATGTGATTATTATTAGGGATTCAGAAGAAGAAAAAGAAGAAAGGTCAATTTAACTCAGAAAAAGATAGATGATCAAAGAGAGGAGAGCTGGTGAAGGAGCTTCCAAAAAAACATTGTCCATCAAGCAGCCTAAACAATCACATCCTGTTCTTTCTAAAGCAATATGTTTTTGTTTCCACGCATACAAACAGACTCATACATACAACTGAACAAAGATGCTCCATCATTTCTAAATTGTTTTGCTTTAAAAAAAAATAAAAGGTTTAACAATTCCATGAACTAGGACATTATGCTTTAAGATTTGTGCTCCGGGGCTCGAATGCAAAAACAACAATATGTAAAACAAGTGCAAAGCGTTGTTGTTGCTCCTTTAGGCCTTAATTACTAATGCACCGACGTCTGGTTTTGTTTTGTATGTGCACTGACTCGGCAAAAAGCATTTCAAAATGAATACACAGTCTGGTGCCTGTGCCACGGCTTAGCATCTTTCAACATATGTCAACATCTGCATTCGCATACACAACAACAGACAATGCCACACACAGGTGCTTGTGGCTATGTTGCACCTGCATGTGTTTCTTGAAACTACATTTGAAAGCTAGTGCCTTGCCTGAAATAATTGCAGACAATATTTCAAACTTTTTATGAACTCTTATCTTAAAGTAAGATTTTTAAAGAAGTCACACTTTCAATAAAATCTGCTGCTTATTATGTATTTTGTGGGAGTGTAGCGAGGCACCATAACTTTTTAATAGAGATTTCAATCTGTGAAGAAGCAAAGAAATGAACACGCTGAATGAACAGAGTGGGGACCTTGGGAAAGAGCACTGGAGCTAGAGTTTGAGTGGCTGTTATTGAACTGGATGGGTGCTAATTTCATTCCCAGTTTCCACATTCTACTTGATGAAGTATCAATCACCATTATATTATACCTTGAATTGCTCTCTCAATGTGTTATTCATTCGTGAGTAGTTTTTAACTTAAAACATCTCCTATGTTTTCATAGTTTTCATTCTTCACATTTTACATGACTACAAGATGTATTTAATTATTGTTTAGGTATTTTGTTTGCCTTGGCCCATGTCATTAAAGCAACACTACAGAAGTTTGTGATCTTTAAAACTGTGTCCTTCTGGGGCAAATTGACATTTGCCACATTCCTGGGTCTGAAAACTGATCTGGATGACCAGAGGCAGCAATATCACAGTTCATGATTTTGGTTTACAACTTCCCTCCACCATTTTCCTGTTAGCTCATTTTTTGTAGTTTTTTTATGGTCTCTCTGAAATTGAAATAAAAACCCTGTCTATCCTTTACATGTGCAAATCTTGCACTGAGAAAAAACACAACAAAGGAGATTGCTGCATCAAATCCAACTGAGATATCTCCAAATGAGATGTCATGGAAGAATCCACCCCTATGGTAGTTGAGAATGACCAGGCTAAGATCCTGTGGGACTTCTAGGTACAGACAGACAAACTGGTGTTGGCTAACCAACAGTAGTAGTAGTAGTGAGAGTGTAAGAGATTCTGTGAATCCATGCATGTAACTTCATTGACTGCATTATCAAAGCGTTATGTGTTGGCTCTTACCAATGACTCGAAGCTCTGCGTTGGTGAAGATTCTTCCGTGCTTGTTCTCTGCCATGCACTGGTACATTCCTATGTCAGCCAAATTCAAGCTGCTTATCGTCATCACCCCATTATTCACCTGAACTCTGTCCTGCTAAATATACACACACAAAGAGAAAAGTGCTTTCAATATTAATGACTCAAAATCAAAGCTGGTGCAAGATGTTTACTACAAACAGCAGAAGGTTTCTTGGTTGATTACTATGTGATGAAAGCACTGTTACAAAAATACATTTCTGTCATGCAAATTTGTAGCCTGCCATTTCAGGAAACAACCTCATGTTTCTTAAACACACTTTTCTCATTTAGCTGAATTTACACCAGCTCCTCTTTCTCTCGATTCCCTATGTTTTCTCATTGCCCGTTCCATACAAGAGAGTCTTTTGGTCTGGTGTTAATACGTCTTTAGAAGGAAAAAAACATTATTGATTGTGGAAGTTAAAAGACTCTGAGAGTCTCTATTAAATGAAGTCCTCACAACTTCCGAAACAATAAGCCTGCTTCTAGGTTACAGATTCTCTTGGGCAGGTCTGATCACTTATATATATACAGTTAAAGTGTCGTTCTTCCTTTGCAAATCAGACAAGTATCACTGGGGTACACTATTGAATAATAATACAACTCAATTAGCTAAAAAGGACAAATGTATTTGACATTAATGACTATTTCCAGTACAAACAGCACATACATTTGTTAGGTTTTAGACAAAAGGGAACAATTAGATTAATATGAAGCCATATCAGGCAAAATGCACATTTACCTGCAAGTTTTTTTGCTGTTGAAACCATCAAGCAATGTTACTATTATTATTTCAGACCACTGTCTTTTTTTTCTTCTTTCTTGTCCTTTTACCTTCTTTTGAGCAGCATTAAAGTTAATTTCTGTTTTAAAACTAAGCAAGCACAAAACGCTACCTTAGAAATGTTGAGAATTAAGTCTTTATTTTTATTTCGGGAACTTTTTTTTTTTTACAGTATCACATAGTTGTACAAGATATCATGAGTTGGGCAAACGTGAAATAGATAATTAGGTCTGTATGTGGACTTTTTAAGATCTCCAATGCCAAGTGTGCTCACTCTGATGTGTAACCTGAATTAATTCAAGCTTTAGCCACCTTTTAGTCTCCGTTGGGGACTTTATAATTGAAACCCTCTTTAATTTCTGTGATCATAATAGGTCCAGAATGGCTGGATGTCACCACCTTCGGCTTAACATAGCACTGAAATATGATCAAACAATGGCTGATGTAAAACCTGTGGGATATTAGTCAAAAAGAAACTATGGACCACAGGTTACTTTATATTCCGGTGAACATCACAGAGCTAAGTGGCAGATGAAGAAAACCCATATGATACTGCATGTGGTACTCTTTGTTTAGACAAAAGTACACTGAATTTCAAAAACCCAGACACAAAGCACGCTGAAAAAAAACTTCAACAAAGTTTTTATCTCACTGGTACTCCTCTGACCTTCAGAAGGTTTGGCACTGCTTACTGCTCCCTTTTTATATGTCAATTTAAGTGTGGCAGCACTCATTGTTCTTGCCCTTGATCTTTCCATTGAGTATACCTGGGCCTTTTAATGTCACTGACAAAGTAGTCCAGGGGGTCCTGCCGCCAGTCTGTCTGCCGTCTAGAATCATTACAGCACTGCCACTTGAAAAGACAAGAACTATCCCTTAACATCAGTCAGTGACACGGCTGAGGATCTTCAAATACATATCCCTCTGAGGCCAGCTCAAGCATGCATCAGATGAACACATGGCTCGCTCTATAGCCTCTGCCAGAAGGGGTTCTGGGTGACAATACATGCAGTAGTTTTCAAGAACACAGAAGTTTTTTTTTTCATGAGGCTACTGTCTGGCCACAGCCTATATTTAGGAAAATAATTTTGATACTAAAAGAAAAGAAAGAATAGCGAGGAAGAAAGACAGAAGACTCAGTCTCTTTGAAAAGATGAAAGATGGTCCTTTTTAGGTTAGAAGGGCCCAGAGGGATGAATTAGATGAATAGAAAGGGTTGGTGCCCCGCTTTGCCATTGTACACCCACTGTCAAGATAAAACACCATAAGACTCATTGGTGGGCCTATTTTTGTGTACGTGAGACATTTGGCGGTATTCGTCTTTTTTTCACCATCTTTACTCATAAATGACTCCAATCTGGTAGCAGTACTGCATCAAGTTAAGGTTTTAAAAGCTACATCATTAGCGTGCTGCTTTCAGTTTTAATGCTGAATATGTAGTGGTGCTATTGCAGAAGCCAGACTGGACGATGATCACTGAAACCGCACAAGAAGGAAGTCCACCAGTTGTGAACTTTGGAGATGAAAGGTAGGACAACACACACTCTCATGTACATAACTAAATATGGGAGCGGGAGCCGTATTGGAAAATGTGAGCACGAGTGGATCCTTGTTTTGCCGGGGTGACATTTTGAAGTGACAGCCCTCCTCTGTGCCATTTAAATCCTACGGAGGGGGCAAAAATGAGGTGGCGACGGAGGAAAACGTGTGGAGAAAAAAAGCTTCAAAGAGAGCTAAAGAAAGAGTAAGAGAGCATGAGAGATGCTACGATAAGGAAACAGGGAGGGGGAGAAGAGGACTGATCCATTCTAATGAGCAATAACAAATGGCCCCCTTGGCCTTCCTCTCCTCCTCCCTTTCTCTCTACATCGCTGACCTTTGGGTTTGGAAATTGATTTACTGTTGCCGCGGTTGATGGTGGCATTTTGAAAATGGTAACACCCCACCTCATTAATATAGCCACATGCACAGAGAAATATGTGACCTTGGCCACCTGCCAAAGGTATTTTTACAATGTTATTTACAAATCAATACTGGATCTGGTTGGGTGATTCGTGCTTTAGGATCTGTGGCAAAAAGATAAACTGACCATTACTATCCTCTCAAAATGGACTTTAAAGCTTGTGTGGAGTTTGTTTGTTTAGATACAGAGACACATGATTAAAACAAAATAGAGAATTACTCATAGTGTAAAACCCAAATCTTCTTCAGTACAATTTCAATGCTTTAATTTTGGGTAATATTTTTCCATTCAAATTTATAACCAATTACAATTCTCTGCCTTTAAGCTCATAACTCAAAGTCTGAGTGCAAAAAGCACACTAACTCTGGTAGAAAAATAACACAAAACAAAGCTAATTGTATACATTTAAAATGCACTTTGGATGATAAGATGTTTTTCTATCTACTCAAACAGAAAATACTTAATGATAAATTTGGGAGCAGGCAATAGGGGAGATGAGAGCTAAATTGTTGACAAAATCCCTGGTTGACAACAGGCAGAAAATGGCATCACTTTGGCTTCCATGCAAAACACATGAAGACGCCCTCCTCCAGAAAATTCAAGCACATATTTGATGCCAAATTGAGTTCCGAGCAAATACAGCCATTTTAAAGTGACATGTTTGTGCCAAGTTCAGGCATGTGAGCTGGTAGTGTCACCAGATTTTGAGCTAAATAAATCCAACAAATATCTTTGGAGTAAAATATATTGTATCTTTAACGTGAAAATACAATTATCTCAATTAATTAAACTATGTCTTTTTAACAAAAGAATGATTAAAAAAAAGAGTTTCAGTAAACCTTATATTAAAGCTGAAGTCATTACTCTCACCTGTCCTCATTTACTCAAAAATAGGTTATTGACAAGAGGACAAATCAATATTTGTATTTATTATTGACAGAAGACAGGCAACAGTGATTTCCTAAAAGATGTATTGTGAGAAGCTAATTTTATTTAAATCAAAAGATCAATATGGAAAACATGTCAGTGACCTTTAGTTTAAGTGTGAAGTCAAGTAATGGAGCAGAGGTAGAGTGAAAGCTTAAGATTGGAATTTTGTCGGCATATGAGTCATACTACCATAAAATAACCGAATCATCTAGTTTATACTGACATAAAAATAATTAAGATTATTCTCCTCGAATAACCTTAATTGTTGGTCAATACAACTTAAAAAAGGTGAACTCCTCATTATTTATCTAACACTGTTATTACCCCCCCATATCTTTTTCCTGACCAAGAACTACTTTTTTTCTGGAAAGGGGTTTGATGTGTTTAATTGAGACAGAGTTCACAACTCTCTTACCTCCATGGGGTCCAGAGGCTCTCCATTCTTCAGCCAGCGGTATGAGGGTTTGGGCTTTCCGGTGGCTTTGCAGTCCCACACCAGAGTTTCATCAATGGTTTTCTGAACATCCTGAGGCTTCTCGATCAACTGAGGTGCAGCTGTGAGGTCAGAAAATCACGTACTGTAAATTAAACCCTTAAACACTGAAGCAATGCTTGAGTAACATCTGGAAGCAGCAGTTTTAGAATAATCAATAAACCAACAAAGCAGACAATTAGTTCATTACAGAAGCATCCAAGGGCACAAATCATAAACTGACTCTAAATCTAAATTTCTCTAAATCTACTTAGAGAAAATAGAAATAACAAAATGAAGATAACTAAATTATATTACTGTTGGAATGAATCAATTGTGAATGCCTTAGACCAAAACCAAACAACACAATCCTGGATATGTAACAACCAGTTTGACATTTATGTATTGGAGGAGTGGTGGTGTAGTGGTTAGCATAGCTGCCTTCCAAGCAGTTGACGTGGGTTCGATTCCCGGCCAAAACAGCTCCTCCCTACCCTGTAAGTCGCTTTGGATAAAAGCGTCTGCCAAATGCATGAACATGAACATGAACATGTATTGATGAAGATCTAAGGCATGGATAAAGTTTACTGATCATCTAGCGATGTGTCAATGGCTAACACTAATTGTATGTATATATATAAATGTATACATATATATAATTGTATGTATATATAAATGTACATAATGTAACAGATATGTAAATATATATTACATCATTCACATAACCATCTGATTATCTGCCAGCAAATGTCAGTAAAAGCGGATGAGACTGTCTGTCTCCTTGGACAGTTTAAGCTCTCTTGAAAATTAAGGAATCTCTATCTGTCTGTCTATACGTCACTCGACCTGTTAACGGCCATTTATCAGATCTACCAGGAATTTGCCACATGTCTTGTTAAGGAACTCAGAAAGTGCAACGTGGGGTTTGAGGTGATTAATTTCTTCGCTCCTATTATTTGATGTTTTCACAGCATTAGGCTCAGCTGGCCTTTGGCTGCATGTAGAATGCATGTACCTTAAAAAGCCCCTGTTGCTTAGCATCTGTGAGATCATGGACAATATCACGATTCAGAGTACTGTGCAATCTCATGATTGGATTTTGTTCTCATAGAATACGTTGCAGTCCCTTGCACATTCTCTGATCTCAGAATAGAGTGCAATTTAGTTTAGAAATAAAAAGTTGAAGGCAAATATCAAACAAGCAGAAGTTAACTATGATATTTTATTTTCACTGAAAATGTTGGAGCTTTGAAGCCATCTCCTCCGAGTTTTTATTTTTCAGAATGATGATCCTCTTAAATCAGGAGTATCTTATGGCAGGATGTGTTTTTGCCCATATTTCTTTTCTTTCTGTTTCTTTTAGATAATTTGTCTTCGTAATAACCAGCCTCATTAAACTGTGCAACACATTTTTTTCCCCTAAAACCTTTCTACTCATCAACAACTGATTAATTAAAGTATTAAAATTGTAAATGAAAAGGCAGTTTTGAAAAGCCATGGAATTACAAATAACACCGGTGCATAACGTAAATGAAGACGTACCATCCACTCAAAGTCACACTAATTCTAATTCCATTTAGATGCAGTAACCAACAAGACTAGAATGTAATTTAACCACTTTAAACAATTCCTTAGTCCCCTTGGACTGCAGATGGACAATCAAGAGAGAAATTAAAGCAATGGATCAACAACTCACCCTCTACTGTTGCTTTGCACGTACTATTTGATTCTTACAAAGACCACATGCTCATATTGATTCTCTGATTCTCCTATAGACTTGATGGATGTCCCACCAGCTCCTATCTGTGGGACTTTAAAATTAGATTACAGATTTTTATCACCTGGCAGCTAGTCAGTCTGTGAGGCTGTGAGATGAGACAAGACTTAAATCTTTCAAGGAGAAACACGACTTCCGCACAGCAATAGTGGAGAAGCTTAGCCGAGGCCACATGACAAAGCATCAAGACAGTGTCGGTGGCACAAATAGCAGAAAATAATTTCCTTACTTAGAAAATTAACATCATTCTATCACTTAAACTTCTTTTAAGCCTTTTACATTGGCAGCAACCAGCCTTCTGATGTTATATTGCTGCAAGGAAAACAGGTTTAATCCCCAGCCTATCTACATTTACTGAGTGTATTTCATCTCACTTCCAGGTGCTGCAACAACCCATATTATCATATCAAAGGCATCCCCCCTCACAGGAAAGAATACTCTGAATTTGATTTCAGTCAAGAACGTCCCCAAAGGGTCTTATGGTGAGACATCATCAATGCATAAAGTGAAACATAATGGAGAGGGAAACTATAACAGTCTGTCACCAGGGGACATTAAAAGCTCTCTTGGAATATGGGTCATAAGTCCATTGTTAGTGATGAAAAAAAAAAACTCTCACTGAGAGGTGATGCAAATCTATACGGGTTCTGACCCTAAAATAAAGGCTGTGAGCAACAAAAATAGAACAGAAAATGACTATGAATCTCCTGTGAACAGGTTAATTTATCATCCCTTGCCACTATACTATGCAGTTATGTGCAGACACTATTAAAAGTCACTGCTTGTATTATAAAAATAAAACATTTTGTTCAAATTGAACGAAAGTCACAGTCTTACCCAGAAGATCTTGAACCATGATTCAGAGTAGTGAAACTTTGAAGGGTTTAAATAAGAATGTGAACCAAGGGACAGAGGGTTGTATAAAAGTCATGATGTGCATGATGTGTTAGGAAAAAGCTGACAGATTGAAAGCAGAAGATTTTTTTTATAAACAAGACAAGCTGTGTTTCAAATCAAAGTTTCAAATCAAAGCCAGGAACTCTAACCTCCAACGGTACTCACCATAAAAAGAAAGCTTTCCTTTAACCGAGTTTCTTCCTCTGCTGTTTTCAGCCACACATTCGTATATCCCTGCATCCTCCTGTTGGAAATAAGGGATCTCTAAAACGCCACTGCCTTTATTTACGTCCACTTTCCTGCCAAAGGCGGGACCATCCACTCTTTTCCAGCTGACTTTTGGCACTGGGCTGAGGGCAAGCAAATACAACACACAGGGAGGGCATGAGATGAAAAATAAAGATGATGATTCTTTTATCGTTGACCAGCTAAAGAAAAAAAACTAGGAGATTCCAGTTAAAGGGATTAAGAATGTTCATGTTAACTTAATTTCACACTTTAACCATTGAGTGTTAAATCTCTCTTTGCTTTTAAATGTGAAAAAAACACAATTACTTATTGCGCTTTCAATTATAGTTCAACTGCTTCCATACACTATTGTACAGCTGAATTACACCAGTATAAAAACAACGCTTTATGTGGTTATTGTTATCAAATAATAGCAAGTAGTGGGACCTACTTTCCAAGAGCAAAACACTCCAGTTTGACAGTTGAACTCTTAGCCACAGGGACAACTTCAGGAAACTGCACCTCGATCTTTGGCTCGTATTCTCCCATCACACCTGGAGTCACAAAGAAAAACGTAAAATGTATGCTACGTGTTTTCAATTTACTGCCTTTAAGCTCAGGGATTCAAAAAGGTTACAGAGTGCATGAATGAAAACATATAGTGGTGTATAGCATGTCTCTTTTCGATGCAAAAAAAGTCCCAGTTCGGTTGGATCTTTCTGTGCTCTGGGCTTTGGGGAAAATCTTTCATTTGAATGTTTCTGTTTACAGCTCGGGTTGTGATTTACTGTTTAATTATGCTCCATAAAATGAGAATGCAGAACCTAGCAAGACAACTGCAAAAAATGCCATTACTGCGTATTGCGGTCATAAAAATGAGGTGCAGATGGTTAAATTTGCTGGCAACAGTTTGGAAATTATAAAGCTTGTCATTTTTCCAGGCAGTGGCTAATTAAAGTCCCCGCACCTGTGATTTCACAGTTCCACTGTTTCAAGTTCCGCTTTAAAAACAAAGCTTCACAGTGTATGTATCAGGAGACACGATCGTACCGTCAAGCCGCAGGACTAAAGGCGTTTGCGGTCCTTGAACACTGCTTTTGGTGACGGTGTTGGTGACCACACATGTATAATTGCCCACATCAGAGGGCTCCACTTTTGCGATGTAGAGGTTGCCTGTCTTCTGGGACACAAATCGGCGTGTGTCCTGGATGACAAAAGATGGGTACTCATTGAAGATCCATGTGAAGGTAAGTTCTGTGAACAAAGAGAATGGATGTGGGCAACAGGTAGAGACACATGCTGTATTTATAAATTACCTCGATGCATTTACAGATAATGTGGGCTCGGCGTCTCATCACTTTATTGTGAGAGGATGCCCTGAGGGATAAAGTAATTAGCGGATTGGACTGAGTGCCAGCCTTCCATGATTAAAAACATAATTTATAATAGAAGAGCAATTACTCTCGCTAACTGCAGGATAAATGCCCTTAATGTGGCTTAAAGTTTCATCCACCATGCTGAATTGATGACACTGAGAGTTTGAAAAAATTACTTTTTTTGAAAAGTAGATATATACAGCATCAATGTTACGTCTTTTCTCCCATGGGTTGCTTGACTTGTGAGTTTTTTTTTTTTTTTAGAAAAGGAAGTATAAGGTCTTTGCTGCATGAATAAGATAATTTATACTAACAAACCATGATTGTTTATTTAACTATGTTACATAGTATACTAACAGTTCACTATGGTAAACATGGCTGATTCAGTAATGATATGATGTTACGAGCATCAACTTTGAAAATGATTTGCTGATTTGTAGTTTAACATGTCAAGATTGTAGAACAATAGCTCTAAATGACCTCTCATAACATAAATGAATGTTTTTCATTCCAAGCCAATAACAACCTTATTCTCAAATGTTTGAGTTTACTGTGTTTATTCTGAATGTCGTTACTTCTTGAAGATGATCATTTATTCAGATTTAATTTCCGAAGCGGCACATGCACAGATCAAGAAAAGCCAATTAATCTGTTTTAAGTTGCCTTGTGGAGGAACTTACATCAAATATTTAACAGTGGTTCTTGCGATAAAGCAAAACTATTTAATACCCTATAATAGGAGTGTTTTACAGATCATTTTAATCACTTTATTTTCATCTCGTCTGCTATTCATCATCCGTGATAATGAGCTGCAGTGAAAGACTCCCAGTGTTACCAACCACATGGAGCACAGTTAAAGACGCTGCACTATCAACCAGCAGCATAATAAAAAGGAATGATGGTGTTGTGACATATTGACACAAGGATAGATTGCTCTGGACCATATTGCATCCCTGTCCCAAAAGCAATCTTGGCCGTTGGTAAAAACTTGTCTAAACGATGACTCTGCACTACAGAGCAAGGAATAATTGACATGTGAGTCCAACACTCATCTACTGACTAAGATTTCTTCACATTTGCTCTTTGAGAAGGAAAGGGAATATCTGGGCTTTGGCATATCATCGAAACCTATAAATCACAAAGGTAATCTTGTCACACTTTTGTTTATTTAATTCATTTTGCTCTATTCGTCTGCTGTGCCTGCTTTAACTCTCAGAGACTTCCACCTGCTTGCTGCGCCCCTCCCCACCTGTTCCCACTCTGCTCCCACTCTGCTCATTAGTCCCTTAATATACTACCATTCCACCAGTTACACTCTGCCAGGCTGTCACTTTCATGTTCATGTCAGTAGGCTACACTTTAGCCTCCTTCTGGTGTAATGTCCTATCTGCTTGTTTTTTTTAAATGTTTTTACCATCTCTATGGTTATCAGACCCAAGCTAAACTTTTATTCCCTGACTGTTAAAATCACAACCATGTCACCTGGTGTGAAAATATACTCCTTTTTGATCAAGCACAAAGCAAGTGCATTCTGATACATAAACTAGATTTTATAAGGATCCAAGGTGATATTTGAAATTGAACCAGAATGTTTCTCAAACCTCTCAGTTTTGATTTTGTTTGGCATTCAGCAGAGTATGTTCAATTTAAAAAAGAAAGAAGGGAAAAGTAGTTTTAGTTGGAAATTTTGCTCAACGAGCCAGTAACCCTTGATATCAGCAAAGAAAAAGCCCTTATGGAAATCATGACATTATGGCACCAGACAGCCAGGCACTTTCTGTAGTCTGTAAGCGTTTCATTACTTTTACACAACTCCTTAACCCAAAATATGCAATATCCACACAGTAAATACTTTTTCGACATAGTGTTATTGCATACCAAAGACAGTCAGGAGACACCTGCTCCAAAAGCAATAATGCCCAAAGACGTGTGGGATGAACTACATTTCAACATTAAAACTTACACAAATGCTATCATACAGTACAAAAAAGGGAACTTTAAACTGCATGCATATTTCCTTGTGAAATGATATAATAATTAAATTAATTCATCCATCCATTTTCTATACCGGATATTCCCAGCTGCCATTTGCAGAAAGGCGGGGCTCACCCTTGACAAGTGGCCAGTCCATCAAAGGGCTATTCAGATACCACTGAGACTTTTACTGCAGACTATTTACAATATTAGGAAATCATCTAACAAAACATTTATACAGTTGAAGAAAACCAGACACTGAGGTGTAGAAAAGAACAATTATGTCACGGCTACATTTCTAGATATTTAGGGGGGCCACTGCCTATTACCATCCTACTACTTTTCCCTCAAAATTAGATGCCCTGCTCCTCCGCTGCCCACTTCTTACCTTCTGAGCTATTAAAGTGTGTAGTTTAAGCATAATGAAGAGTGTCCCTAAATCCGATGTCTAATGTTAATACAGATAGTTACCTTTCTGAATATAATTCATGTTTTCATAGGTTAATTTAGACACTTAGTAAGGAAGTTTGCATTTCATTTTCAGTGTTTGTGCATCCCAGCCTCTGATTTATCTAAATAATTTCCTGAATTGGTCTGTCTGACCAACAAAGGGATTAGATGGTATATTTTCTACTCCCCCCTTGATAACATTTCCAGCCTCTATCATACATTGTTATGCATATTTTATGCTTGTTTTTGAAACCAAAGGTTCAGAGCACGGCTAAATGGAACAAGAAGAAATAAGAGGTTACTAATTAGCTTTTTAAAGATTTATGCTGAGAAACAGGAAAAAGGAAGTGAAAAGCACTGATAGTTGTATTTGATTGACTTGAGAGCCTTCTGTGGACGGGTGGTAATTGAATAATGCAATCATGAGCGACAGTGAGTGGCACATTTTCATTGTGGTTCCATTTAGTCCTCGTGTAATGAACAGGCAGCATCAATTTTCACTTAATGATCTGATAGGAGGGAAGAGAAATGGAACATGACAGACCAAGGACATAGTGAATCAAGAGAGGCTTTAAGTACATGTGAGTGTCAAAGAGAAGCATGTGCACTGCTTGTGTCAAGACTATACTTGCAGGTCTGTTTCCCGGATAGCGAAAGCCATTAACCAGGACTTCCAGTCTGCATTCATAACATACAAGTTCACTCTATGAAATGGCCTGGGTCACGCGCATTGGAAAAACCCCTGCAAGCTATATCTGCAGTTAGGAGCCGGTAAGCATGTTCTGCTTTGGACACTGGGTGATGAAAACAAATGATTTCAGCCTTGAGTAAATCTGAAAGGCCCTTTTCCATTAGTGGAACCAGGTCAGATGCATTAGATCCCAAACTGACCACAGTCATTCAGACGGTTTCAAAGAAAAATGTGACACAGCACACCATCTAATGCACAAACAGAAAAGAGGAATACAAAGATCAGAGGCCTGGTTTTGCTTGGAAACTGAACAATATTTTCATCAGTATTTAAGTGCAACTTCAAAGTACCTTTGAGTTTTAGAGCATCCTGCCAGCAGAATCTACTTCCTGCGTGGGGTCATGTGGGTTTTCAGGCCTTGTTACGGTGAAATGATGGCTTACTGAATCATGCATGGGATGTTAGAAGCTTTTAATGGGAAAATGAAGCATATCCTGTCGAGGTCTTTATTGTGCTGATTTTGACTTATGTCCTGTCATGCTTTATAGCAACATGCTACACCCTTTCTAACATTGAAAGTCAATTTGAATGACTACCAGCCACATTTAGACAGAATATGTCAATACTATGGCTTGCGATAAGGCTAATCTTGTAAATTTATAGAAAAAAAAGAAAAACATTAGTCTGAGATCTTTTAACAACCTGGATATATTTGTAGCAACTCTGTAGCAGTCTAAAAAGAAAAAAATAGATCCTTCATAGCACTCAATGAACTTCATAGCATTCAAAGATTGGGCGGGCACTAATTTTCATTTGTTTCTATTCCTAAGTAATTATAATAATCTTTATTATCATTTTGAAATCATTAGGAAAACTGTTCGATCTCAAGCGAAGCCTGTAAGATGGCTCCTGAGGTTAAATCAAGGAGCTTTTATTTATTTTGAGCTAAAAGGGTTCCATATTTAGTACAGTTTGCACATTGCACTAACAAGACATTGTCTTCCTCACAAGTAGCCAGCAGGTGTCAATAAAAGAGATACATTCACGAGAGATAATCACAAGTCCTTGTGCTACCAAGAGTTTGAGAAATGTTTCTGAACTGTTGTTAAACGCCTGATTCCCAATAAAGGTGATAATAATAATGGACTGTTGGTAAAGCACTTAACAGGTCTACAGGAACAACACTACCGTCTGTGTAGTTATAAGAATTTTATAAGCTGCTGAAGACTTAGGGTAAGACTCCATGTGACAGATGTAGGCCAGCTGCACTGTAAGAATGTATATGTGTTAGTAACCTTCAAATGATCAAGTACAAAATGAACACACGTTCAAAGGGAATCTAGACATAAGTGTTGGTAATAGTTAACAGAAAAGATAAATATAAACTATTAAAGATAATCATTGCATCAATCAATCAATATATAATTATGAAATGGAACTACTTATTTTTTTGCAAGACACCAACAAAATGAACCCCAATTAGTAAATCAGGTGGTGATTGAAAGAAGTAAAAACATTCAATTATTTGCCAAATAGTAACGAAAAAAAATCACTCTAACAACAGACACACCTCTAGAAAGATGATAAACAAAGCTTTTGGTTGTTTTTCTCTGATGAATTATGAATGATTAAACTAAATTGATGTGGCTGTATTTTATGAAACAGGCTAATTTTCAACGGCGTCTGTACAACTGTTCTCACACAGAAACCAAACACTCCTGAGAATTCTGACGTTGGCATAAGTACATCTTATAAGAAGATAGATCGCTGAAGTTCACAGCACAAGGCTGGTGTGGGTATCCCACTCTTTTTACCCAAAGTAAGATGTATTCTTATGTAATGAATATCACTATAATACAGGTGTACTTATTAGGCTTGCATGTCATTATTAGACCAAACAGACTTGTTTTCTCAGAAAAAGGAACAGCATGGTTTCAAGCAGTGACTTCAGATGAGTCAGTCAATATTTTTCCAGATCAAAGCAAGGTAGTTTGTGCTCTGCATATAATCCAACAAACATCTCCTCATTTGGAACTCCTCATGCACTGGGGCTTCACCAAGAAGTCCTCGCTTCTGTGTTCCTCTGTACAATCTCTACTTATTTAGCATCAATTTCCTACACAAGAGGAGCTGATATCCAGCTGCATAGTCCATGTTATTCCTCTGAGTCGGTAAGTGATGTGCAAGCTGTGCACTGGTAAGTAGTTGTGTTTTATCGATAATTACCCAATTAAGGAGGTCAGAGAGGAACATACACCTCACTCCCAAGCACACAAGTCATGTTGAGGGTCAATCTTGAAAATGTTATAACTTTTATCCTGTAAAAATAAGTTGCAGCTACTCCATTAGGTGAAAAAAATACAGTTAAATCCATGCCAAGTTTAAATTAAGGGCTGAGATTAATGTTCTCAGTGATCACAGATAAAAATTCAGTCCTAACTAGCTACCTTAGCCACAGGACAAGCACAGATAGCATGCCGAGTGCTTTATTGCTACTTTGCCTGAACATACACCTCCACTTGAACTATTTTTTCCTAAAGAAAACCTTACAAGACAAATTCAGCTGCTTTATTTGCATGTCATTTCTCAATTCCTACAATCGACTATGAATAAAGCTATTACAACCTCGTTATAGTAATTTGTCTAAGTGACTTTATTCACTTCAAACTAAGAAAATCTGAAAAAGTCATGTCAGTAAAAATCCGTTTGATGTCCTTCAGTCAAGAAAAAAGCCTGTCCGCATATCTTTTAGTTTCATGTGTTGTCGCTGTCAAAAAATCATAAGAAAGGAATATTGACGAGGGAATAAATTGGCTCAACCTTTGGGATGGCCAGCATGCACATTACAGTGCTTAAATTAATCTATGGAACCCCATATCAGTGTTTTAAATAAATGTTTGTGTAATTGCGTGACCTGATATAGGGTTTATTTCCCCAAAAACTGGAAATTCGCAGCAAACCCTCTTATCAAAAACATGTTTTATTTCTTCACTTTTTGATAACAGAATTTCACTCCAACTGTGTTTATGTGAGGACAGATGTCACGCAACATATGTTTTTGAGACTTATTTTACAAACATATTCTTTTCAACATCCTTGTCATTCCTAAAAGGTTTGGGTGTTTGTAACACATTGTTTGGCATGTTTAGTCAAGAAAAGTGTTTTATGTTTGTCGTAATTCAAATTACTGGTGTGCAAATACAGCAATTTTGGAGCCTTCAAATTGCAGGCCTTCTTTATCATGACGCCAACACATTTTGATCTAATGTAGCTATTACGTATTCTGAAGTGAGACAGAGTTGTTATTTACAAAGAAGGAAAACCGCAATGCAGTGAAAAAAAAGTTGTCCAAGTAGAGTCCATCTTTCTTGTCTCCTCTGAAAACATGTCAAATGCCATTTGTGATTTTTGTAACACGTAATTCCACCTAATTGTTGGACAAAATGACCAACCTCGTCCAGCCTTTGAGGTGATACAGGTCATTATTCGATAAGTAAATCTATCTATCTAACCATCTATCTGTCTGTCTGTCCACAAAGATTCCACAGAACTTTTGCAGAACTTTTGCAGAAGTCAATAGGCTTAACAAAATTCCATCTGCTCTTTGCTGGATTATAATACAGCCAGCCTGTTTCACAGATTACATTTAGTCCTTCTGGCGAGAAGCCCATTTAAAGACCCCTGTGTAGGTGTTAATAAGACTGGATGCAAGCTCCTATTGACAACAGCATTGATGCAATGGGATGATGTGGACCAAACAATTCACCCTCAGACAGATTTCTCAGTTACTCAGGCTGGCAGGGCCCCAGCCAAAGATATCCTCTACAGTTTGGATGCCAAAGTCTTTCCTGGCTCCTACTGAAAATCAAGCTGACAGGCCAGAGTGTCCCAAAGTAGAGATGACTCTCCACACTTCAACACCGCAGATCAACAAACAAGAGCTTTGAACAGAAGGGAGAAAGAGGACTTTGACTTTGTTCAGTTAAGGGAATCATATGAGGAATCCCAGAAGCGACCCACTAATAACCATAAACACTATACAGTATATATTTATATATATATATAGATATACAAGGTTACAGTATCACACAATGAGAAAATGCCAGAAAAGAGCATCCATACCTCCAGAGTGTGGGGGTGGTCCACACAATAAGACCACTCCCTGACCTTCGCGGACTCTCACTGGACTTCGTCTCTGGGTTTTGAAATTCTCCAAGTCTGTTGACCAAAAAAAGAAAGCGGTATTACATACTAATCCCATTTTCCACAAAAAATACAAAAGTACGTGAGATGTAAACACAGCGGTGCTAATAATACACACAGATAAAAGACAATGCATTAATGCATTACTGCACAAGTCATATCAGTCGTTGCACAATTATGTTCTGCTGAACCCCGGTCTCTAAGTAAACGCTGCAGTATGATGCAGAGCTGTAGCATACTGAACCAGTCATAATATGCCTGCATTAATGCAAACATTGTACCGTAGAGTCCTAAACACTTCGGACTGGTGCAGAAAGCAATTGTTCAAGCATAAGTCACACATGAGTGATTTTAATTGGAGCGGCATATTGTTATCACTTTCTGTGTTGCATTCACTGCACACAAACCAGCAACAATTAAATGACAAAGACTGAACCTTCATCGGTATGGAAACTGAGTATTTAGTGACAGCCCACTGAGAGAACAATCCTTGAGCACTTTGCTGTATCTTGCCTACTGTGGCATGTGGATATATTGCAAAAATATGACAAATATGTCAATTCAAATATGGAATGAAATAATACAAATCTGACACCTTTGAGTATCAACAAAGCAGAATGAATATGTGTGTTATAAATACAGTCAATTATTTTATGAGCTCTGAAAATGGCACCAATCAGTAAGGATTACACTATTATTAATCGAAAGCTGTTTTCTTCTTTTTCTTTTATATTTTCTTTTGTAAAAAAAACCCCCACAAACTCTTGTATGACAACACAAATGACTTTATACTTGATATAGTTCTTTCATGTTTGTTGCTGACAGACAGATTGTGCGGATGGTTAAGTGGCCAAGTCTAAATCGATGGCTGAGCCAAAGCCTCAGGGGAAATATCTAACACACGGATGTCCTTTATGAACAACAACTACAAATACCCACAAGTTTCCTGAGGCAGCTAACTTCATGTGAAAGCATTTAGATTATATGAATGAAGCACAATTGCAAAGTGGGGACACATTTTTATCAACCTTTGGACATTCACGTGATGCTTCTCCTGGAGTAAATCAGTATATATTGTTCAGTACAAATGTAAAAAACACTGAAATATTAAAATGTTTTGAGCCTCAACCTTTGATTCAAGCCTGGGAGCATGGATATATCCAATCTCATCCAAATTTAAACGGCTGTAGCAAAATAAAAAGAGGAAATCTGGATTTCTCAGGTCAATAAAATTGATTATAACATATATAATGTATTACACAGAGAAGAGTCTCGGATGCAACTGATATATTTTTTTCAGTTGCATATTTTTTTCAATTTAAAGAAAATCTAATTCAGATTCTGATAAATCACCCATCGCACACTGGTCCTGTACAGCAGATGGTCCTTAATTCTTTTTTTACAGTATACATGTATCTCAGCTGCCATTTGGATGGAGAATAGGCAAAAGCAAATTTAACTGCAGCACGAATGTTCATGAAATTTGATAGAAAAGTTTTGTCTGGCTAACAGCTGTTCTTTTCACAACCTTTAAGAAATGATTTATGTATGCATCAATCCACTGTAGATAGAGGTCTTTTTTTGGAATTTAAGCGAAAGCATTACGTATTGTTGCTTCATTGTTTGAACTACAGAATCCTGATTCATATACATATTATATTCATATTCACCTGCAATTAGAACAAAAAAGGGAAACTGACTGAAGCTCATTGCAAAGTTCATTACAAAGTCACCACACTGTGGTTCAGTGAATATGGTGCAAAAAAAATAAAAATTAGGCCTTCTCTGCTTGGAACTCCCAATTGCCAGGATCAGTTTGAGTAAATAAGATGGTCCCCATTTGGTGTTTTCTGCTTAAAAAAACGTTTTAAACTGACCAAAACAAGCAACGATGTGTTCGGAGTTTGTGGAATAGTATTAGATTACCATGACTGTTATAAGTAAATGTAAAAAACTCAGTCTGATTTGACTGATTTCTAATGTAAGAAATATAACAGCTCTCCTGATCAATATTCCTTCTGTGTATCGAGGGGAGTAAATGAGTTAGACACAGTAAAAGCCAACAATGCTTGACAAACCAAGCTGTTCGGCACAGTGTGGATCATCTTATCAGGCCTATCACAGCTCAGCACCTCCGTGTGCTTCTCCATCGCAGGGTTTAGGCTATTTTGAGTGCTTTCAGGTCCATGAAATTGGATGTGGATTTGCATTTTTGGACTTGCTCCTCCAAAGTGACTTACATTAATGAATGTGAGGCAATTGTACAGAGCCGATCCTGTTAGAAGGTGGGCTTGTGGACAGTTTGTATTGCAGTTCAGTTAATCACCTTGCCACATGACATTTTTTTAAACATTTCTGAAGTCGATTTAAAAGTCTCTAGCCACTACATGATCTCCATGATCCATTTAACAAACAAAAGCGTTACTTTGCAATTATGCTCTCCTGATAGGGCCCCAGCAGCTATGGAAAAAACCCTACTCTCAAGATAATATGATCACTAAATATTTAAAGAAATGTTAAATGGAGGATTAATATTTTACATTTCCTTTTTACTATTAAAAGGAAATGTAAAAAAAAAAAGCACTGGCTTCTCCATGACAGTGTTTCATTTCAACGTATGGAACAATTTGCCAAACATAGACAAAAATACACCACAAAATAATTATTCCAGAGAGCATCATAAAAAACAGCTGCCATCATCTCTCCTATATCTCGGCCCTTTCTATCTCGGTTTTGAGTGTCACATGGCATTTGGGGTAGTTATAAACATCACAAAGGCCTAATTCTTGGTGAACAGCGGTCGTGCCCCTCAGTGATTAAAACACAAAAAAAGATTTTCATTTAAAAAACACCTCTCTTCTTTAAAAGAAGCTAAGACGCAGATTGACAACCTAATTTGCTCTCAGGAAAAGCTTTTGTTCCCTCCTAAGATGCACAGATAAAACAAGCTTAATTTTAACTCTCAGTCAAAGGCGATGGATAATGAGCAAATAACTTCAGGAAAATAAAAAAAGCCTAGCACAAAAGCGTATATCATTTCTACCACGTACGAATGCAGATGAGGCATATTGCATTAAGTGCACATAAAGGACCGAATGTGAGCAAAAATCATCTGCATAGTTGAGCCACATCCTGCACGGCTATCAGCAACAACAGCTTCAACAACTGAATCTGTCATGAAACACTGTGAAGCTGTGATACAAGCTATGCACAATTCCAGCTAGAGCATGCCCCTTTTCAGGACATGCATCCAGTGCACTTCGCCTCTGTTGCTGACCTTGCAATCTGTTGTATAAAGCTGCATCTTGCGTCAGTTAAAATCCTTTCAGTTGGAGCCAAAGACAGAAAAAAAATTCCAACCGGATTTGAGAGCTCAATCTGGCTTGATCTACGGTAAACAAGTAGATTATTCCTTCCATCACTCCCCACGGGTGAGTGCAACCTTTTTAACAGGCTGTATTGTCAACAGGATCAAGAACATTTAGACTTTTAGAGGTCTAAGCACATAGCAGATGGGAAGGGAAACTGTTATACTATCCATATTTCAAAAGATTAAAGATGTAATCTTGCATTTTGTGCAAGCACCACAAATTTGATGATATGAGACATCATTAAATGGCAAATATCAAAGACTCTAATTGTGGTAAATATCAGCAAATACTTTCATGGGGGAAATTGGCAATTTTTTTGCATCGTTTAAAGAGGCAAAAATTGATATTTAACAGTGACACAATTTTGAACTGCAATTTTGCTTTTGTTTTCAGAAGCTGTGCCTTAAAATCCTCCTTGCCAGGCTACCAGACATAAGAAGATGAATAATAACGTTATCATATTTTTTATTCCTTGTTATCTCTTCATTAATGGCTTCTACCTTGGTCTCCGTCTCACAAGATTATTTTGAGATTATTACAAGAACGTGGAAGCCCTCAGGTGTTTGAAAATGAATATTGAGCCCCACCGAGTCTGAGTCCGTTACAAATGACATAACACTGGCAGTCATAACAGACTGCTCCTCTCTGACTTATTCCCTTGACCTGAGACCCGCTCAATCACACGGCACACTTAATTAAGTTAAACCAAGAGCAATAAATAAGATGTATGACACATCAGTACTAATGTGTCTTCTCATCTGTTGACAAAAGCAGCAGGTCTCCGGTCAGGCTCAGGCGACGGATGAGACCAATCACAATGACATACAGTTCAGAACAGGCCTCAAAAATTGATGGTTAATGTGAATATGATCAACGGCCCACCGACAGTCCGGGATACAGATTTGCTGTATATGCTGAAGATTTAATGCTGCTTTGTGACAAAGAAGCCCCAAATAGCGGCGGGATAAATATCACTGGTGCTCTCTCGCCAAGGATCATTGCTGTGTCTGCTGTGGCAGAGAAACAGACATCAGAATTCAATCTAGCTGCGCCATCTGTTCACAGATTTCAGGGCTGTCATTTGATATGGGCTGCCCATCAAGACTGGGGGCCTCAAGTTCACCTTGCCATAAAAGATGCCTTAGACTCTGGTCTTATAAAAAATGATGGATGAAGCCTACAAAACATCAACTATATAGTACGTGTCAAGCCAAACCTTGCAATCGGCCCTTAGTCTAAAGGTAGTGGAAGGCTAGAGTGACCAAAGAAAGAATTCAAATCAGGTAGCAGTGCTTTAAACAGTCATAAAGTCTAAAAGCATAAAACGAACTGATAGATAATAATTTACTGGAATCGATTTTCTGGAATAGGGCCTTTTCACTATTATTACTTTTCGAACTAACAATCCAAAAATTGTGAACGCTTAACTTAATGTTTTAGCTTAACTCTACTTAGAGGAGCTCTCCTTAAGCAGTGACAGTAAATACAAAATAGAAAATGACAGTGAACATATTTTTGTCCATTGTCATTTAATTACTTATTGTTGCTAACTCTGAGAGGACTGATTTTTTTTTTACAGTTTTCAAGCTTTTTTCTACAGATCTAACCAATGTTTTTCTTCTTCTATCATTTACCATAAGAAGGGAAGGAAATTAAGGGGTTGAAGTTCGTCTCAAAGGCAGGGTGACAATTCAGGTCTTCGGATAATCTAAGATGGTTGACTAAGGCCAGTGTCAGAAAGAGCTTGTGTACATCCTGAAAAGACTTGAAAGCGAGAAGATAGCTTTACGAGCTTTAGACTAAGAATCTCCACTGATCAGTACACATAGGTAAGACATAAGCCTCCAGTCAAGCCAGATCAGTCAATGGGCTTACAGACCAATGATGGCTAAAGCTGTCACTGCAACAGAGAGGTTCAAATCAGAAGGGAAGTCATTTACATGACTGGCAGAAGTTGTTTTAGTGATTACTTTAGGTAGAGTAAATTTTGACTAATTTACCATTTGTGATACAGATTCTGTGGAGGCCGAGCTGGAAGATGCGTAGGAATAATGGACGAAATTGCGACAGATCTGTCACTTTCATGTTCAAGTTACTATCACTATGCTTTCATCTTTAGCGTTAGAATGATTGAGGCAGCTGTTCTTGCACAGCTGCTTCAAACACAATATAAGAAATTTTACATTTATTTCACAATAATGATTCAAAGTGAGGGATTTCTAATGCTCTTATAAGGGAGAAAAGTTTGTGGTTTGGCAAATGGCAATTAGATAACATGTCAACGAAGAAAAGAAAGGGACTTTGGAAGGTATGACTTTTGAGGTAGTGTCAATATGAAGGGGCTGTGCAAAGCTCCTTGGTTCCATATTTTCACAAGCCCTGACAAGCAGGAGACAATTGACTGTCCAACTTCCTTTTCACAAAGATAAACCTCAGAGAAACTCACAGAAATGAAAGGCAAACTAATTAGGACGTTAGTTGCACAAAGCGTTTCCCTTGAAGCAGAAATTACAAATGATTGATTACCACATGTCACTTCTTGTATAATCCATGTTAAAAAAAAAAGATCTATGTACCTGCTGCTCAGAAGCTGAAAGGTATGACAAAGCTCTGGCACATGTGAAACAGATGATAATGTTGTTTCCAATTTATGTGCATTAAATTAGGATGGAAAATGAATTTTCGTCCGCTTTGATATAATGTAAACTTACAGGCTACGTGGAGACTGGCTTCTCTGCTGATGATTGTGCCGAAAGAGTTTGATGCCAGACACTGATAGACACCAACATCTTCCTCTTTATTCAGTTGGCTGATGTGTAAATTTCCACCCATGAGAGAGTAGCGTGACCCCGGGCTGGGCAGGATGAAAGAGTCGTTTAGCTTCCACCTGTGAATCCAAGCAGAGGACCATCCCTGACTGGAACATTACTGAAGAATATCAGGAAAAATAAGAGATCAACAAAAGACTTGTTCGTTTCTCTATTTGAAACGAACAAGTCCTCAACATCATTCAACATTCACCTCAAATCACAGTGATTATCAGACCGAATTGATCATGTCTGAACAAAAAACGACAAGTGAAAAAGCAGAAACATGACCGTTCATTTCCATTAAAACTCGTGTTTCAAGTATTGTGGGATTTTGCAATGTGTGAGTGTGTTTGTATGTTACAGTTCAGTAGTTTTTCAAGCAATCAATGTTTTTCTGTACATGGTCTACATGTAATTTAATTAGTTCATTTTCCATTCACAAGGCTAATTTGACAATCATTCATTTTGATAACCAGAATGTCCATCAACCATAAGGAGTAGATTTAAAAAAAAGCTTTTTTTCCCATAAAGTTTATAAAATGTATACAGATAAATCAAGGTAGGCTAATTTGGTATTATGTTCTATTACAAATTATACTTTGATAGAGGAAAGTAAAGAAAGACCAGTCATGTGCAAAATAACTCCCAAATATATTAAATGTTTTCTATCTTTATCAGTTAATCTATAAAAAAAAGAAGCATGTGTTGTGTAGTTTTTCGAGGAGAAGGACAGGGAGGCGGGGATGAAGGATGTAGCAAGGGGAAGGACATATGAAGCGAAGCAATGCTGAACAGCAGATTGGCTGATTAGGCTGATTTAGAGTCGAAGCTGGAAGTGACCCAAGAGCTCCAGATGAGACAAATCAAGGGGACATGCTGACAACTTGGAGTATGGACTCCATGTGGCATTGTTGTTGCTGGGTTGTCTCAAACAAATGTATTTGCCCTTGGGGGCCTCTAAAAAACATCTGCAGCAGTCAGGAGCCTAGCATCAGCATTTGATGGGCAGATGTTGATCTTTACAAAGACTCACAAACGTGAAAAAAAAAACAGGAAGGAAAACCAGGGTGACGAGTCCAGCTTAATATTAGTGACATCATTTAAAAACAATGAGCGAATGATATCGTAGTAGCTTGACTTGAATCTGAAAATGACTTCTTAATACAGGTTTAGACGGCAACAGTTAGTGCCACTTGCTATAGTAAAAAGGATAACAAAAATTCTAATAGATATTATAAAAAGTGGGCACATACTCAAAATCTCAACTCAGATGAGCAGAGCACTTTGAACCTTAAAAGGTACTGCATTTCCAAGTGAACTGCTGAGTATTGAGCAAATTCCAAATGATCAAACTAAATTTTAATTTTTTTTTAATTTTTTTTTATTTTTTTTAAATTGTATTTAGTAACCATTAGACATAAGGCCAAGAACATTCATTCCACATTACTGGCTGTATACACTGATATGATGTGAGTTCATTTGAACCTATTAGACATTATATGCTTGGTCTTGTGATTAGCATTAATTACATGACAGCTTGCCCCGTTTGACAGCTGATAAATGAATAGCTCAGCCAATCAATGTGCTTTAAAGCAATTTTTTTTCAAAATTCCTCAGTGGTTTAGTAGCAAAATAATCTATTAATCTGCATCTGACTTTGAACATGATATAACCACGCAAAGCCAGCGTTTCCAACAAGCATAACCAGTGACAGCTGTATTTCGTCAATTAACTGATGTGTTTACTCACATTCTCCAGTAATAACTCTGAAATCAGATGCCCCGTGGCAATATGTGTGAGCCTTCAGTGCTGGTGCTGCTAGATAAAACTTGGAAAGAAAAGCTCAGTTGGATCACTTTTGGTTTTGGACTTTTGCTTTTCTTTCTTTCAGAAGCACATTATTTTAGAGAGTCTCAGGTCAGTTGCCATCTTTCTCAAAGAAAACAACACAACAGTATGTGAGCTACACTGTACTGACAGAAGTCGATGCAATAATCATTGTCAGATTAACTTTGACTGACAGTGACTGTGCACGGCAGGGAGGGAACCATATGGCACACAGATACGTTTTTTTCTCAACCAATTAAGTCGCTCTCCACTGTTTTTTTTATTTTATTTTTTTACTTTATTTGACATTTTACTTTTTCATTAAAAAATTTGTTTAAATTCAGTTCACAGCATCACATTTGATACAAGTTGTGACGGTGCTTTGACTATCATTTTTTTTAGCATCGTAGCCTCTATGAACAGTGTGTAAATGTCTGAGAAGTAAGAAAACCATTTGCTGGACCTTTGGAAGAGGAATGCCGTTGTATTATTTTCTGATATATGATCCCAACTGTTCTATTGTCTTGAGTCTCGTTAGTCATACTTTGTTTTGCTTGCTTTGCATGTCAAATGTTTTTGTCTGGTGCAATGCCTGGTTAATCAGTCCAGCACACAGACTCTTACATTTACTAAACTATGGCTTTGTAACAGATGTATTGTGCGACTTAACATTAAGGAATAAAAGTTATTTTCTAGATAAGATAATGCAGAGGGAACTTAGCACTGATACCTAACTAGGCCGTCCCCTTTTTCTTGAGTGTGCCAGATGGAGTACCCTCGATTTTCAAAAACAGATTCAAATTTAGATTTATCTAAAAAAAAAAGAGCAATTTCTCACTTTTTCCCATATGTAATACCTACCTTTTTCTTCTATTTTGACCATGAAAGCAAGGTTGTACCTGAAAGTGTGTGCTAACAGCCATGTCAGCAGGTGTTACCTGTAGATGGGCGGAGGGTGCCCTTGGGCCTCACAGCTAAACACAACCTCCCTGCGCATTTCACCGGGATGAATGGGAAACACCACGCTGCCCGGCTGCTTGGTGAACACAGGCTTCAGTAGGACTCCACTTCCTGGATGGAGAATCAACAGAACTACATCAGCTTTGATGTTCCACTAAGCCTGAAAACCACTTCAAACATCTCTGTGTTGGCAAGCAGATAATGAAGGCTTACAGAAGAGGGGGGGGGGGGAAAGTGCTGCACATGAGAAGAGAGGTTCCCTGTGCTGAATCTATCAGCAGAATGTAAGCAGAAAATGTGAGTATTTTTCACAAGATTCATTCTATAACAACTTGAAAACCCTCATATGAATTTGCTTTAAAGCTCTATATGTGACGTTGTGAACATACAAAGGAAGTTAACATAATTATCCAAGTTTTTTGTGATTAAATTGTTAAATTGATGCTGATTGTAATATAGTCTTAAATTTAGCAAAAACAAATTTTATGACTGTCTTTACATAGATGTCATCCCATGTCTGAAAAATGATTAAGTGTGGAAGTTATTTGCCACTGTGTTGGACATCAACATCTCTCTCACATTATTTTATTTCATGTATATCATTATCCAAACAATTATTCAAGCATAGTTTTTCATTGAAGAAATGCAAGATACAACTGATAACGTAGCATAAATATTAATGAGTAACCCTACAATGAGTTTAGTTCCCTTTTAAAAAGTAACAAAAAAGCAGAAAACACATTCATGACATTCACACCACTCATTCCCTGAATAATCAAAAAGGTACACTTGTGATTGCGCGTGTGTGTGCATGTGTGTGTGCATATGTGTGTGTGTGTGTGTGTGTGTGTGTGTGTGTGTGTGTGTGTGTGAGTATGTAAGAGTTGGTAGTCAGCACCTCATTACAACAGACATTTCGTTCTGAGATGAAAGTGGAGTTTATTTTGATTGTTAACAAGGACTTGCATCCGCTATGTCAAAGAAGAAAGAGGTAGAGAAAATCATTTGTATGAGGGGCAGGTATCGATTTCTGGAGTTTGGGGAGTACAAATTTGTCCTTAAGTTAAAAAATAACTGTGAAAGGATGGAGATGTTTGACAATGGAGGTTGTACACTGTAACTTCTTTCTACAGAGCTACACCTCAGAGAAAGTTTCAGAAATTGAAGGCAAGATCATTTTAATCCTAGTTCCGCAAAATGAGTCAGCAAATGATTGATTACCAGATGACACTTTAATCTATGTTGATAAAAAAGATCCATGCCAAAGCCTCTGGCACATGGAATCGATCATTATATGTATTCAATTTATGTATGATTTCAGTTATAAAGCCCATTTTCGTCAGTGATTAAATATGAGAGGGACTAGAAGAGACAGACCTGAGAAGTACAAACAAGTAGTGAGGGAGAACTTTGAGGAGAGGTTGGGTACAAGGAATCTGAAGGGTTCATCTTCAGGACCTCCACAGCCATATTGATTGATTGATTGATTGATTTGGGAGATGGTGAGGGAGTGTAGGGTCCTAGAGCTTCTTTTACGTGTAATGTGGCCCCTATAGAACACTTAAGAGAGCTGACTCCACATTGTTGGCATTCATTCAAACTAATTAGAATGCCTCCTGGTTACCTCTCTTTGGAGGTTTTCTGGGAATGTCCTAGCGAATGGAGGCCCCAGGGTAGATCCAGAACTAGCTGGAGGATTAAATATCTGAGACCTGGGAATGCCTCAGGATCCTCTTTGCTGAGTTGGACAGTGGCACTGAGGATAGGGGTGATAGACGTTGAATTGGCAGGGAAAAAATACGTCTAAGAGCTTGAAAAACAATTCTTACCCCCCAACCACACTTAATGTTTTACTTTTTCTACTGCGCTCTTATAGCTAGTGTTAGGCACCAGGTAGAAGACATTCTTGGGTGGTATTAGAATACCTGAAATCACAAAATATATGATCATAATTTTTAAAATATTGTATTTTTCACCAAACATTTGTCCTTATTTTATATACCACATATACTGCCTAGAAAAAAACAGCCATTTGGCTGTAATAATGCAGATATGAATGGATGAATAATTAATCAGAATTAGATGATGATGATGGTTAAAAGAAACATGAGAAAGTAAACTAGTCAGCTGACAGCACAATACTACAGGCAACAGATAGAGGTCATTATGAAAGGTTGTTTTATAAAAAAGGAAAAAGAAAAAGTCTGCCTGCGCTCATATCTGTCCCCAGCTGCCAGATGGTGATATGTCCATGTTTTTGGAGTCACCACTGACAACACCAGACTCAGCATCGAAGCAAGTAGATGGCAGAGGGGGCCGTCTTAAAGGCTGAAATAAAAACTAATCTCAAATTCAATACTAGCTGACAGCAAATGAATTCCTCCAGCTTACCTCAGCATGAATAAACAGGCACATGGGAAGTCAGCTGTGGGGGAGGTATAGGTTTTGTAAGGTCCCAAATCCATTCGATTCAACTCAGGATTTTATGCATCAAAAATAAGAAAAAAGAACCCGCTCTCTGTCCAAAGCGATAAGGCACACCTTTAAGGTCTCTCATCCAGGAGAAGCAAACGTAAAAACCAGAGTGGATGGAGAGCCATGGTCATGTCAAGAAAAGTACACGTTTCATTATATGTCATCTCAGTGTTTGAAATATTTATGGCTTGTTTTGCAAAAATCAATTATTAAAAGAAAGAAAAATTATTTGTAAAGGATAGCGATCCAGCGCAGTTAGAAAGAGCAAAAGAAAACTGCTAACTTCTTCTCATTCCACAGTGGCTGATGCAGAGGAAGAAATGCTCACAAAAACATTAACCAAAACCGAAATTCATAAATTTTTTTGTCATAATTAGCTGAGGTTATAGGAAAGATAAATGTGAGACATTCACAGGACATGTTTAACATAGAAACAACACTGTTCAGGTAGTTAAAGCTATTGTTTCTGAGCTGTAAAAGCACCATTTAATTAAAAAATATCCAATGCTATGTTCACTGCATGGGAAGTTGATCGGTTGAACGTCATTGATCGGAACCCACTTAATGCATGGCGACAACAAATTAAGGAAACGTTTTGCTTCTGTTGGCTATATTGATTGTTTGTACAAACCCAGGAATTCATTGCTTCTCTTTAAGTCATTTTTCATCTTACTGCAGCATAACATCATTTTCCAGCTGAAATGAATAAGCCAAGTTGTTCCTAATGAGTAATGGTGAAAGTGAACATACAAAATCTTGCAACCAAGATATCTAATGTGTTTTATACTTTGAATTCTAAAGATCTTTTTTCCCTTTTTATTGTCTAAATCCAGGTAACAAATGGTAGAAATACACTCCAGACTAATAACTGAAAGAAAAATATCTAATTAATGTATCTAAATCATCACCCATGTAATAATTATGGAAATGTCTTTGGAGATAAGTGAAATATATCAAAAGTGTTTTGCACTTTTGACGGAGCTTTAGTTTTAGGTGACATGATATAAATAGATTATTACTTACTTTTTCCCAAGGCAATAGTATACTTGCCGCTATAAACAAAGTGTACTGTTTCATTGATAGTGTTACACAGTAGTTGCAAAAAGAAATACATTGCTCACCAATCGATTCTTAAAGATTTGAAATAATGATTTTTGTGAATGCAAAGACTTTAAAACTTGAGCATATTTGATATCTTGATGGAACAAATAAGCAGCAAGCTATAGAAGCAATAGTCCCAGAAGAAAGGACTGCACTGTAAGAAACATGCCTGTTTTTTACGTAAAAAAACTGGCAGCTGTGATTGCCAGAATAATATTGTAAAAAAAATACAGCAAAGTGTAAAACACATTACAGAACAACCTGTACATCTTACTATGTAAAACTGTAATCTTTTACGAAATAAAATTAGAAATATTCAATGCTAAACTGGTAAATTCAACATCCCTTTTCAGCCCAATTAGCTTGACGATGTCTTTATTATAGCCATTTTTTCTTGTACAATGTACATACGGAGGTTGCTTATTTTACATCTAATCCCATTCGATCTAACTGAAAATAATCAGCATTATTAAATGGTAAAAGCCTTATTATAAAGACAGTCTGAATTTTCCTGAATTTTCTGCTTATTTTAGTAAAAGGTTGTCCATCCATCCATTTTTGTAACTGCTTATTCCCTAATGGGGTCACAGGGGGACTGGAGTCTGACCCTGTAGTCAATAGGTGACTACTGGACGGTCCGCTAGTCCATCGCAGCGCAACACAGAGACACACAAGGACAAACAACCACACAACCGCTAACTCCTAAGGGCAATTCAGAATGTCCAATCAAACTCCACACAGAAAGGTTCCAGTTCCCCCGGGGAACCCAGAACCCTCTTGCTGTGGGCGATAGTACTAACAACCACACCACCATGAAATTCTATAAAAGCGTTAATGTCTGCAGGAGATCTAAATATACGACAAAAAAGAGTTATTTAATTTTTATTGGGGGGGGGATATCTCCTTTTCTTCTTCACTCATCATTTTAACCCTCATGTCTCCTCTGGTCTGAGCATTTACTGTATAAACTAAACTTAAAACACTGAATACATGATAAAATAATATTATAACTTATAATTATAATATGACACAAAGAATATGGAACTTATTAACACAAAAAGAGCTGTCAATTTAGTGTAACATCGTATTTTTTACCATGACTACAGCCTATAGGTGTCAGTTCTAAACATGTTTGATTTTCAACTTCTTCATGTTATCATAGTTAGGCCTTCAGTATTTAACTGTAAATCACAACAACTGAATTTGTAAAATGCTGTACTGTTTATTTCAGTTCTTTAAAACAAGCTTTATTGTAAATTTAACTATATTATGTTGGTTCAAGTATTACCATTTTTTATGTTTATAATACAGTAACACATCAATTCCACGAAGAAATATTATCCTTTTCACATATACTGATTTTAAAATGAACAATTATTCATTGTTTCTTTTGTTTTTTTTACAATATACTCCTTTTAAATATACACTAATTAATTGTTTTTCTTGTTGCAGATTTTTAATTTAATGATTTTACGGCATATTAATGTCTATTTCACAGACATTTTTTTTACAGTGTACGTTTCTGGATATCAAAAACTTTAAAGATTAAATCAATTTATTTACTTTTGGATAGAAAAACGAACACAAAATATTCAAACAATAGTGCAAGTAAAATATTTTTTGACAATACTTTTTCTTTAACCTTAAATCTAAACAAATCACTTCGGAAGAGCACATTCAAATTCACATGTGGAATGGCATAATGTTAAATTAGGTGTACACTAGTCAGCTTTATTCGAATATTTGAATGACAAGTACTTATTGGAATCAATTATTGGAACCTTATATATATCCAGTTTTATCACTACAAACAGTCCTACAGGCATTACTGTTTGTGATGAAATCCTCACACTTCCTGAACACCATCCGAGCCAGGTCATTTCTGAAGTCTAGACTTGTAATTGCATCACTTGACTTTCAACATGTACCTGACATTTCTTTTTCATTTTTCATCACACCAATTAACGAGTCCTTCTGCCAAAATGCACTGATTCAAACACCCACTTCAAAAAAGTGAAGAGATTGACTTTGAGAATGAAAACATTTGATTCGTCTGTTTTCGGTATTCCTAATGAACTTTTTCATGTCTCTTTTCAATTCCGGCAACTAAAAGACAGAGATCAATTATTTTAGTCAAATAACTCTAAATGAACTGAGCTTGCAGTAGACAGTTTTCCACCAGTCTACTTACATATATTCAGTTTATGCTGAACATTAATCAAACAACAATCCAATCTTCTCTCTTAAGCTTTAAATGATATTCTGACTTTTGTGCAAATGTTCATACAAATGAATTTGAATGACAAAGCGACTGTTGTTAAATGGAGACTGTTGGTTGCATGCTGGAGGGGTCCAGCTCTGTGAAGGTTAGCTCTATCTGTGGGGACAAAGATCATCCATCTACTTTTCTCCGTTGGTCTACTCGCTCTCTCAAACATGCAGTACATGCCTCTGCCTCAGGTTGTTCAGACCCTCGGAGAAAAATAGGGGAAGAGATGGTTAACTTCACATGAACCCGCTCTGGGAGTGACTTCCTTACAGCATTAGTGCTCTCCCACATAGCCAGTGCCTGCTGTTTGGATTACAATACAGCACCTCAGAGTCTGGATAAATAACGTACCAGGAAACAACCATCTAACACACTCACGGTAATGTCACTACCCGGCTTTGTTGGTCTGCATACTTATACGCTTGTCATCTTTCTCCTAGAACAAAGAGGCTTTAGAGGTTTTAACAGTTGTATTGCACAATACTGGTGTTATGCGCAGAGCTCTTGTAATGCAACCCCTCACTGAATATTAATGCTCTGCTAGTCCATGTTCCAATTGTGAGTGTAAGCCTAAGAAATGAGGCAAGGGTCGTGTAACACAACAATTTTCAGCAGCGATTTTCCCTCTGCTCCATTGTCAGGAACTAAATTATTCTAAATAAATAACTATGACTGTTGTGTTTGTCAGTCATGATTGCTTGAGTACATTTTGTGGCTGAACAGACGGCCCTGAAAAGCAGATTTTCAAAAGTAAAAACTAATTTAGAAGAATGTTAGAGGCATTCGAGAATCTGTATATTTAATAGAATCAATATGTAGGACAAAAATATGTGATCCAGAATTGAGAAGTGGAACCCCTATTCCATTGTGAGTCACAGCTCCCTGCGGAAAGCCTCATTAGACACCCAGTGATGTGTGTGGATTTAGCCATAAGTGCTGCTAATTGCCATGTATGCAAATTTAGGGTTGCGACACGTCATTTTGCTTTAAAAAAGTTGAAAAACAAATACTTACATTAACACACACAGGCTCGTTCGCTCGCATACATGCACACACTAATTATTTTTGGTAGCAGCTGTGAGAAGGGGCTGCTGATTTTGAGCGAGGCAACATGAAGGATTATTCATTCCTCAAGATACTGCACTCACGCAACAAAGCCCTTATTCATCTTGTTCACAGCTTCAATCTGTGACATTCTGAAGAGAACTTTTATTCGACCCTGAACAGTTTCCGAGGGAGGAAAATTTGATCTCTCATTAAGAGGAAGATCAATGATAAGATTTCTCCACTACCACTGATGTAGTCTCAATTAGGAAACAATTGAGGCACTCTATAAAATAAAAGACTGCATGTTTAACTGCCAGATAGTGGCCAAATGTCAGAGATTGATGCCCAACTTAAATTCCATGAAAATGAACTGGCAAAAAAAAGGTGGAAGTTATCTTCCGCAGCTGAAAAAAAACTTTATTTGCAGCTTTGAGAAACTGTTGAAGACAACAGGCTTAACAAACATCTTTAAATTTGGTGTAAAGCTTTAGATGTTTTTTATAAAACAAATCTTTGAGTTTCCTATTTGATTTTTAACTGCACTGGCTATGAAAATTCACTGACTTCACGCAACAGCATAAAAAATATGTGTTTGAGGGCTTACCTGAAAGACACTCTACCATTGACAGAACCAGTACAAGTTTCCATAGCAACCCCATTTTATTGGTCTTAGGTCAGTAGAGGCTCAATTCCAGTCACAGGTGTGCAGAGTTCTAGCTTTTTCCTTTCCAGATGTTTCACCGATCCACTGCAAATAAAGACAAAAAGGGGAGAGAAATATCAAATACTCAGAACCATTAGGAACCGTTCAGGTTGCAAGTCCAACATGAAAAGAATGCCAGCGACACCACGATGAGCCCAACATTTTTGGCGATAGCATTTAGTCTTTCAAAGTAGGTCTGGGTGACATAGCAGCTCTGTTCTGTTGTCTACACCTTCTGAACACTTATTGTACGGCTTGCTTAAGTGTGTTTATTATTGCGTAATACAACTCATGCCTCTAAGAGAAATACAACAAGATTATATTCAGGTGCTCAAACCAGCTGAGGTTAAACAAAATGAACATTGGATGTCAGGCACATTTGTAGCATGCAATAAAGCACTGGCCTAGTACTTTGAATTGATCTGAGCCGTTGGTATTAAATATATCTTGCAATAGGACCTGACTGTACACTGTGCAATTACGTCCACCTAGAGACTCACAATTAATCTTCTGAAAGAACATATTGTAATTAATTTCGGCCTTGATGCAAAACAGGTAGCACAAAACGCTTCCGAGCAATCTGAAGCCCTTCTCTTGTCTGTGACAAATTATTTTTCTTTACCCTACTAACACAACAAATGTTTATAAGCGTGATTCTTTCTGATCACACAGCAGGTGAATGTTTGCTCATGGGAGGCTGGTTATGGAGCGAGAAAGGATGAAGGGGGGTGAAATTAGCCATTTCTTTTTGCTCAAACTGACTCTCCTTGGTACATTTAACTGACTGATGGTGCGGTTTCTTCAGACCACACACCATCAGCTCGCTGAAATAAATGAGAGAGAAAAATTAATAGGAAAACACTGTATAGTATATCAAAAGGCCCATTTAAAAAAAATAGACACAAGTGAAACATCACTCTTTTATAAGTTCTTGGTTATCTGCACACCTTCCCTCTGTGTACCAGAGACAGAGCATACTGATGGTTTTATGAATTTATCAACTGCAACCCTGACACATTTGCCATCATGACTCATGTACTAAAGCATTAAAGGCAACACTTTTTGCCAAAAAATGTCATTATGGAGATTAGATTAGGCTCGGCATCTTGGTTCCAATTTATTTAGGAGTTATTAGGATGCAAATGTCATGAGTGGCTGTTTTGGCTTTTGATATTAAACCAGAAAGACTTTGAATCCTTTCTTTTGCTGCTGGATATTTTTGGATTGTTCCGCCTTTGATGGAACAGATGTAAGAAAAGTGTTGAATAAATTACTGCACAAAATGTATTCAGGATAGAAAAATTAGAAGTTAGAAATTAAGCAAAGCTTTATTTAACTAAGAATACTCATAATTTAACAACTAATGCAGATATGTGTCACCTCAGGCTGCAAATTGACTTGTTCCTAAATATATTATTCCCATTTGTGAAAAATCTTTTAAAAATCGTGAGAATCTATTGTTTTGTCAGCCATGCAAATGTTCAGTAGACTCGTCAAATATTCATTTATCCAGCCTTCAGAGCAAAACAAGGGAACTTTAATCAGTAAGTGTGAACTACTCAGACATCGCATCCATAAAAGCTGCTATCAGTTGGCCTCTAACAGCTATCCCTTGATCTCTATTATTCTGAAAGCCCTGAGACAAAAGACATCAGACAGTAGTGTTGGTGAGGTGGGAGATTAAGGAAATCCTTTTGAACCAAAAGAGCTCAGAGCTCTGAGATGATGGCCATGAGAGTCAGGAAGTGTCCACATCAGTATTTGACTTCCAATTCAATACAAATTAATTACCCTTGTGGCCTTAAGTGGTAGTGACAAGGCCACTTTCATCACAAATTGATTCACTAATTTGTTTGCTGTATGAGATGGAAGTTAATGATGGGGAAGGCTTTCAAACTTCCCCTTTCAAGTTCCACCCTCTTTCATGTCCCTGAAACAGCCAGCAGTTGAAAAATTGAATATGATCAAGGCTGAAATGACAGTC